GGCCTCTTGGGACCCTCTGGGAGGCCAATTGGGTCATCGTGTGGTGGTCTCGTGGGCCTTTGGGACGCCGTGGAACGTCTGAAGCTCGAACATCGAGAACCCCAAGCACAGTCAAGAACCTCATAAGGAGATCTGTGGTTTGTGCCTCTTGGGGCCCTCTGCGGAGCGCTCGTCGAATTCTCTCGGGCCGTCTTGAAGCTATCTGGGGCTGCCCTGAAACCCCGCGGGACATCTGGAAACTCTCTAGTGTCGCTGCGACGCAGCGAAAGGCCGTCTAAGCGGCTCTCGGGCCGCTGGAGAGGGTGACCTGGGAGCCCCCTGCCCCCATGGCGAGCCGGGGCAGCTGGGAGAAGGCCCCCGACCGTGTACCCCGACATATACATCCATCCATCCATCCATCCATCCATCCACCCACCCACCCACCCACCCACCCACCCACCCACCCACCCACCCACCCACCCACCCACCCACCCACCCACCCACCCACGCACGCATGCATACATACATACATACATACATACAAACATACCTACCTACCTACCTACCTACCTACCTACCTACCTACCTACCTATCTACATACATACATACATACATACATACATACATACATACATACATGCATACATAACATAACATAACATACCATAACATACCATACCATAACATAACATAACATACCATAACATACATAACATACATAACATACATAACATACATAACATACATAACATACATAACATACATAACATACATACATACATACATACATACATACACACATACATACATACCTACATACATACACACATACATACATACATACATACACACATACATACATACATACATACATACATACATACGTACATACATACATACATACACACACATACATACATACATACATACATACATACAACCATACATACATACATCCATACATACATACATACATACATACATACATATATATATATACATACATACATACATACATACATACATACATACATACATACATGCATGCATACATGCATACATGCATACATGCATACATGCATGCATACATACATACATACATACATACATACATGTTAAGTGTTCGCTTCGACTCCCAATATTCTTCCTTTAGGCAATAGGGCGGCTTCTGCGGCGCGTATGGGGAAACACCATCGCAAACTTTGCGCCGTGTTTCAAATCCAGGCTTGGTGGCGTCGCCGTAAAGTGTTTCTGTTCACTGCGGTGGCCTGGAAGCGGTGACAACACTGGTGGAAGCACTCAGGAGCCCTGAAAGGCAGTCGGAAACAATGTCACTCCCCGTCGGGACGCGCGCGCAACGCCACGGATGCGCGGCGCAAAACGCGCGCGGCAACGGCGGGGATGCGCGCGCTGGATGGGGAGCTCCCGCAAGTTCGCAGAAGATTTTCTTGCGGGCCGCGGCCGGCTTCTTGCGGATGTCTTCTGAACCGTCGGCGCAGCAGCAATGGGAGCGGTCGAGACGAGGGTGTCACGGATGCCCTTGCCAAGCTTGCACTCGCTGCGCGTGATGAGGGCAGGGTACTTTGTCGCGAGCTGGTGGAGGCCCCTGAGAGAGGCCCTTGAGAGCTTGGTGGCCACGACGAGCAGGTTCATGAGCTCCTTGGTGGTGCACGGCGCCTGGTTGAGCTTTGTGAAGGAGCGAGTGCGCTCCACGCGGCTGGCGAAGATGGGGGACTTCATCTGGGAAGCTCGGTGGCGATCGTTAGCCAGGACGGCCAGGCTGACCTCGAGCTAGGCATGCTGCGGGACGGAGACCAAAGTGTTGCACACGTGCTGCGTGGCCTTTTGCCCCACTGCCGTGGGAGTCGCCGCAGGCTCCAACGACCCGTCGGCACGCCGCGTGGCGCCTGCGACAAGGTCATCAGCGCGACGGCGCCCTTCTGAAAGCAGATGAGGGCGTGGCGGCCCGCTTGGCTTTGGCGTGGACTGGAGTCGTCCGCCACCGTGGCACGGCCGCTGTTGGAGGTCGTGTATTTGAGCATCCCTCCGGGTGGAAATTGAAAAAGAACAGGCAGGCATGAGAACGCGCTTCTTTTGAATCGGTAGAAACGGGAAGCAGGGAAAGTCGAATGAAGGAAAGGTGGCGTAGGAGGTAAGTGAGGATGCTCTCGGAGGTGTGAAGAGGAGGGTTAAGTGGGACAGCTCTGCCTGGTTTCAGGAAACCTGTCGGCAGCCTCCTGGTATCAGATCGGGGGGTACTCTTACCCTTGATGGTATCTCGATGGAGGCGTCCAAAGCCGGATGGATGCCCGCAGTGCCCTCTTCGGGAACGTCGGCTCGGACACAGACTCGTGGCCTCTTAGAGGATTCTGCGGGTCCCGGGGAGCATGCTCGAGAGTTCTGGCAGGCACGGGGGAGCACGTGGGGCCTCTGCGGGACGGGCGTCTCTTGGGAGTCTCTTGGGGGCCTGCTGGGGTCTTCTTGGGGGTCTGGGAGCTCGGATGGAGACCGTTCCCCCGAGCCTCGAGGCCCGTGGCGCGGCGGCGGAGATCACCTCCTTCAGGGTCCTTGAGCCCTTGACGCCCTTGCCGCGAATCTTGAGGCCCGTGGCACGGCGGCAGAATTGCCGGAGGGAGTTGGCCTAGGGTCTCGTCTACTCCTCACCCTCATTCTCATGTTATACTTCTGCCCTGCTTGCCCGGGAGGAAGACATGGATGACAATGCGCACTGCTGGGCTTCATGGAAACGATTTCGTCAGACCCATGAGAAATACCTGATGCTTATGTTACTTCACCTCAGCCGCTGCAAAGTGGAAGAGGATGAAAATGGCAGAGGTTGCAACATACAGTGGAACACGTCGAGTACCTGACGAACGTGGACAGGAAGGAGAAGGGGGAGCAGGAAGGGAGGAGGGGGAGGAGGAGGAGGAGGAGGAGGAGGAGGAGAAGAAGAATAATGAGAAGCTCGTGAGCCACTGGGGAGGCCTCCCGGAGATGTTAGGAGCCGTCGAGAGCTGGTGGAGCCAGAAAGCATGGAAACATGGAAGCACTTTTGGAAGAGCTGTGCGTGGGTTTGTTCAGTAGGGCCCTGGAGGGCATGTTCGCCAACTTGGCCGTGGTGGGCGTGTTAGAAATTCGCGGGGGTCACGTCCCTTCCCTCTGGGGGTCGTCTCGGGGCAATTGTGGGTGGTATTGGGGTCTTTTGGGAGGGTCTTGGGGCGGCATTGGGGATGTTGCCCGTGTTGGGTCGTTCTTGGTGGTCTCTTGGGGCTCATTTGGGGGCCTCGTGGGTGGTATTGGAGTCCCTTGGGGAGGTCTTGGGGCGTCTTGGAGGATCTTGCCCGCGTTGTGTCGTTTTTGGAAGTCTTGTGGGATTCTCTTGGGGGCCTCTTGGGGCTCTCTCGGAAGTCTCTTGCCGCCCCCTGGGGCCGAGGAGGAGCCCTGTTGGGGCAGTCTCTTGCGCTGTCTTGGGACGATATTGTGGCCTCTTGGACCATCCAGGGCCGTCAGAAACTCGAAGTCGAGGGATGGTTTAAAATTGTGAGAACTGGATGGAAACCTTACAATCGGGCCCATGAAACCCGATTGTAGGGCCCCCATGAAGGCCTCTTGGGCTGAATGGGCCCTTTTCTGAACCATATTGACAGTATCAGAAGCCATCGGAGGCCATCTCGGAGCGCTCTTGAACTTTCTTGGAGCCGTCTTGGACTTCCTCAGGCTGTCTTGGGGTATCGTACGACAGTCCGGAGTATCTTGTGACGGTCCGGACACCCTCGGGGGGCCTTCTTCGTCGTTCGGGTGGCCCTTTGGGACCGTTCTGGCCATTATGACGTCCATCTGGGGGTCTCATATAAAAGGAGGATAGAGGAGTAGATGCTAACCCACCCACGCATATATATATATAGATATAGCTATACAAATATACGTAGATGCATGGATACACGCATGGATGCTTGCAAGCATACAACGATGCATACAAGCACGCATACATACACACGTAAACACAAACACACACACATACTCACATACATACATGCATGCATACCTACCTACCGAGGTACCGACCTACCCACACACATACACACATGCATACACACATACACACATACATACAGACGTGCATGCAGCCATCCACAAATTCGTAGTACGTACATATACACATCACATCCATACGTACGTAGTACGTTCGTATTACGTACATACATACGTACGTACGTGCGTACACACATGCACATCTGCATGTATACACCCATGCATATGAACAGCCATGCATGCATGCATGCATGCATGCATGCATACACACATATACGTAGATACATACCTGCAAATATACATACAGCCATACATGCTTGTACACATGCAGACATACAGTCATGCATGAAGGCATACATGCACACATACATACACACTCCCATGAAGACACACACACATACACGCATACCAAGACAAGCATACAGTCATACATGCGTAAACACATATACCCATACATACGTACATACACACATAGGTGCATGCACGTTTGCATACAAGCATACAAGCATGCAGACATACATGCATGCACACAGCCTTGCAGACACGCATGCATGCATACATACGGACGTACATGCATACATACTCTCATTCATGCATACACACATACATACATTCATGTATACATACATAATTCATAGGTTGATGATGCACAAGCAGAGGGAGAGAAATAGAGAGATAGAGAGAGAGAAAGTGAGAGCGCAGCAACATAGAAGTGCGGATGGAAGGATAATGAAGTGAGAGGGGGCAGGAAACGAGACAGTGGGAAAGATGGGTGGACGGAGGGAGGAGCTCGGGAGGCCAGGGGTGGGAAAGAGCAGAAGGGCGGGTCTGGCGGCATGCGCAGGGCAGCTGCATGGCAGGCATAGCGAAACACCACGTTGAGAGCAGAGGCTGGCCGTGTGGGCACTCCCACAGGCATACCACTGGCGCTGTCTGTCTCGGCCAGAAATCTTGCAGCACGATTCTGAACAGACTGCAGAGCGTTATTAGAGCCTTTTTCGTGGGCCTACAACAATACCAGGATGCTTCGACAGTGCCTGGCTGTTTGCCGTGCCGCTCTTAACTTCACGAGCTAGCCCTCTCACAGTCACCATGCAGCATGCTCGCCGAGCACACGCAGGCAGCTTCGCCGCGCGCGTGCCGCAATCGGCTGCACGCAGGAGTGACGACACGCAAGAGCGACAGGTGGTGCGATACATGTGTGTGTGTGTGAGAGAGCGTGTGTATGTGTGTGCGTGTGTGTGTGTGTGTGGGTGAGAGAGAGCGTGCGTGTGTGTGTGGGTGAGGGGGGGGGGCAGCTCCAAGCGCGGCAGCCAGAGCGGGGGCGATCCCTATACGCCGACGGCCACTTCCGCGAAGGGCCCCTCCTGCGCGCAGCCGAGACGAGCGACTGCCCTGGCGATGAGCGCCGGCCCGCCGTGCCTTCTCCAGGCGGACATTAGCAGCGTACACATGAAGCCGCAGCAGCAGCAGCAGCAGCAGCAGCTGCGCGCGATACCTTTACAGCGGCATGCTGCGAAACAGAGAGAGAGAGAGAGAGAAAAAAAAAAAGAAAGAAAGAAAGAAAGCGAAAAAGAAAGAGAAATGAAGATAGAAAGAGAGAGAGAGAGAGAACGAACAACAAATAAGATAACAAACAATAAATAGAGAGAGAGAGACCTTGAGGGTCGCAGGGCCGCACAGCCGCGCATGGCGCGGAGCCGACCTTCCAGCCGAGCAGCCCGCTCAGGGTGGCTCCTCGCCCGCGCAGCCCTTGTGGAAGAGTCTGCAACAATAGCTGATCTTCGCGGGGGACCAGGCCAGCTCCTGAGGGGTCGACAAAAGTGGGGGGACTGGCATACAGTCAGCATGTATCATAAGAACGCGCGCTAAGGTTACAAAGGCCTTGAAAGGCCATTTCGAAGCTCCTCGAGCGGGGCGTGGCCAACGAAAGTGGCCAAGGATGGGCCAAAGAGACAAGGATGCAAGGGTACCATTGGGAAGGTTGCCCATCCTTATTATGCGGCTTGACTGTAGGGGGGGACTGGCGTAGGGGGGGATGCATCGACCTGGGATCGGCGATGCCTCGGCGACAAATGGGCGACAGGCCATCGATAGCGCATCCCAACGCTCCTGGGCGGGGTGGGGCCATCGGGCCCCTGTCGGCGATCCGTGGTCGATTGGGCGTCGATGCGTCCCCCCCATATGCCTATCCCTGTGCCCGCTGGTGGCTGTCGGGCCATGACTCGGCTCTTGATGGCCGTGCGGGACGATTCTGGCACCCCCGAAACGCTCTCAGCGAGGCGCAGCTGCTGGGAAACATCCCGGCCGTCAAGCACCGACGAGAGCGCCCGAAAACCTCGCGCCTCGAAGCCGAAACTTCCCTGAAACGATGCCCATCCCCCCCTTTGCCCCTCCTCCCCCCCTATCGTTGCCCCCGAGCTCCAGGCAGTGCATGCAATGGTGGTAGCCGGCGTCGCAGTCGTACACGTTGGTGTCGGGGGCGGGCGGCAGGCCCGACGGCGGCTCTCCCGAGGGCGGCGGGAGCTCCGAGGGGCACCCCTTATGGGCGGTCCTGCAGCAGTCCGGGCGCCCCCCCCCGGCCGTCCAGGGAGGGGCGAGCAGGGCGTACGCTTTGGCTGCCCCAACCCCTTACCCTCCTCCTCCTCCTCCTTCTCCTCATCCTCCTCCTCCTCCTCCTCCTCCTCCTCCTCCTCCTCCTCCTCCTCCTCCTCCTCCTCCTCCTCCTCCTCTTTCTCCTCCTCCCCCCTCCTCCTCCTCCTCCTCCCCTCTCTCCTCCTCCTCCCTCCTCCTCCTCATCCTCCTCTTCTTCCTCCTCCTCCTCCTCCTCTCCTCCTTCCTCCTCTCCTCCCTCTGTCGCCTCTTGCTCTCTCTGCCTCCTCCTCCTCCTCCTCCTCCTCCTCCTCCCTCCCTCCTCCTCCTCCTCTCCTCCCCTCCTCTTTCTCCTCCTCCCCCCTCCTCCTCCTCCTCCTCCTCCTACCCCTCCTCCTCCTCCTCCTCATCCTCCTCTCCTTCCTCCTCCTCCTCCTCCTCCTCCTCCTCATCCTCGTCCTCCTCCTCCTCCCCCTCCCCCTCCCCTCCCCCTCCTCTCTCTCGCCCTCGCCTCGCCTCCTCCTCGCCCTCGCCCTCGCCCCCTCCGCTCCTCCTCCTCCGTCCTCCTCCTCCTCGTCCTCCTCCTCCTCGTCCTCCTCCTCCTCCTCTTCCTCTTCCTCTTCCTCCTCCTCCTCCTCCTTCTCCTCCTCCTCCTCCTCCTCCTCCTCCTCCTCCTCTCCTCTCCTCCTCCTCCTCCTCCTCCTCCTCCTCCTCTCCTCCCCTCCCCTCCATCCTCCTCCTCCTCCTCCTCCTCCTCCTCCTCCTCCTCCTCCTCCTCCTCCTCCTCCTCCTCCTCCTCCCCCTCCTCCTCCGCCTCCTCCTCCTCCTCCTCCTCCTCCTCCTCCTCCTCCTCCTCCTCCCTCCTCTTTCTCCTCCTCCCCCTCCTCCTCCTCCTCCTCCTCCTCCTACCCCTTCTCCTCCTCCTCCTCTCCTCATCATCCTCCTCCTTCTCCTCCTCCTCCTCCTCCTCCTCCTTCGCCTCTTCCTCCTCCTCCTCCTCCTCCTCCTCCTCCTCCTCCTCCTCCTCCTCCTCCTGATCCTCCTGCGCATCGTGCTGCCATGCCCTCGACCTGCACCTGCTGCACCTCCCGCACGGAGGGTGCCGCCGTTATGCAGCCGCGGCGTCTTCCGCACGGCAAGGTGCATGTCGATGGCAAGGAACACTGAAGAAGGGCCGAGGAAGTTTTCCGTGCCAACAAATACAGTGTGCACTTCGCGGCTAAATCTGGATCATGTGCGGCCACCCCGCGGTCACTGTGCATTGGTTTTTGAATGTTGCTTGCTGCGTGCAGGCCACCCAGACCCCATGATGGCCACCCCGCCGCGATTGTTCACTGGTTTTCGAAAAGGACGGAAAGGGCCGACATGTTTGCAGATGTGTGCTGTCACGTGCGCGGGCGCACCTGGCACACTCTGCGCGTGCCCCGAACGTGGCGCGGCTGGAGCATGCGGCACGCACATGGCCCACATGGAGCACGTGGTGCATCTGGCGCGCCAAGCGTGCCTGTCACGCTTGTGCCCCAGGGGTGCCTGGCGAACCTGTCGCGCGTGGCGCGCCTGGCACCCGTGGCGCACCTCGCCCCAGCATCGTGTACATGGGGTCAGTTGTTGGTTCCCAGTGGCTGTCCATTCATCGACGACCGTGAAACACGCTGAGGCTCGGGTGCTACTCACGTGTTGGGAGTGCGAGCGGCAGTGAGCGAGACAGCATGCGGGCGGGGAGGGTGTCTTGACCCTACCCATCACCCCCTACCACTGAACCTGGACGGGGGGGCGGCGGAACCCCCTCCCTCCCCTTTGATCTCTTCCCAGACCAGCCACAGACCTCAGACCTCTGGCGACTCGAACATCTCGCCTGTCCTTTTTCACCTTTCTGCCTATCTGTGTGCGACTTCCAGGCCTCGAGACCTTTCACAGAACAACTCAGGATGACAAGCCAGCCCCTGGGGAAGAGGTCGAGGGCTGTGGGAGCCAGCGACTGCAGGAAACCAAAGACGTCGGAGGTCGAATGAGGAAGAGGCGGGGGGCTGGTCCTTGGGGATGGTCCCGGGGTGTATTCGAAGTGGGTCCGTGGACAGGGGTCCCAGGGGGCTGGCGCCATAAGTGGGGCGACCCCACTTTGGGGGCGCCCTGGACCAGCTTCGGGGGCCACGGTGGGGGGGGGGGGTCTCGGGGCCACAGCGTGGGCACAGACTCCCAGCCCACCGGGACCCACTCCGTCCGCACCTGGAACTGCAGAAGACTGCATCCACATGGCCTGCTGGGTGTCCTCGCGGACCTCTTGCATCTGCGCCGAGCCCTCCTCCCTGGCGCGCCAGGGGCGGCGCCAGGCCAGGGGGGCGGAGCGACGATCAAGGGATTCGGCGTCGGATCCTACAGGCCAACCCGTATCATGAGCATGCGGGGTAGGGGTGCGAGGGCCTTGGAGGGCCAAGCTGACGTTTTCGAATGGGGCTGGCCATCGAGCGTCGCTAATGCTGGGCCAACAGGGCAAGGATGCACGGGTGCTCTTGGGAGGGTAGCCCATCCTTACTGTGCGGATTGACTGTATGTCATCTTTCTCTTCGTATCCTAGGTCATCGAATTTTGCGTCCTCACGCCCCGCGGTGCGCGATGATCTTGGCGTCCTCGCGAGGACGCCCTGGAGAAGGGCGCCTCTCCATCCCAGACTTAGGTCGGGCATGTCCTCCCACACGCTGATTTGAAACACAAGAAAATCAAACAAAACTCAAACAGATGGACAACAATTTATTTGGACTCGGCTTGACCGCAAAGGCCGCCTCCCCGCACATCTCTTCAGTCCCTGCCGATGGAGCCTCACTCAATGCAGATACCTGTAGCACACATTACGTCTGAAAATTTGGATTCCGAGCTGAGAGAGATCGCCTGTCCCCTGCAGAGCGGCGAACACAGCAAGTGCTAGCCGAAGCCCCGACACTTCGGCGGAAAATGAATCTGTTGCCTGGGGTTCCCACGTCCCCCCGAAAGCCGCGACCTCCCAGTCGCCGCTCCCCTGGGAGACCCGGAGAGTGAAACCGCCCGCGCTCCGCCCGCACCCGCGCCACCCCCCGTCCGAGTGGGCCAAACAATTGTGAGGCGCAGCTAACAACTCATCAATGCGAGGGTGGAGGCATAAGAAACCTCGGCCTGCATCTAAAACTGCATTACACAAACGATTAGCCTCTTGATTATGGTGGCGGGGCCGCCACAAAACGGGAGCTTCGATCGGATCCGGAGGTCTCCACCCATCGGTCACGCTCTGGAGCAAACAGTCAGCTAGAGGCGAAAGTTGTGAGAGCCGTTCCCATTGGACGAACGACGAGCCACTGATCGAAGCATCGCCCCTTACATTGTAGAAGGACATGCCCAACATGATACCAGGCCTCGCCTATGTTCTATCCATGGCGCCCAGGCCATGGGCACGAGTTTCCGTTTCTGGGGGGCGGCGAAGCGACGCAGGCCGCCAGGATAGAGCTTCTTCTCGCCAGACCAGCCGCGCACCCACTGGAGCGGGTCGAGGTCGTTGTATCCCGCATTGCAGTCGATGGGGCATGCTGAGGTGGATGTGGTGGGGCACCCCTTGTTCTCCATCAGGCAACACTGGACCTTCTTGGCCTCGTCCCACGACTCCGGGGCGCCTTCTCCGCAGCTGATTCGCTTCTCCGTGGTCGTGGGCGGCGGCGGCGGGGGCGGGGGCGGGGGAGGGGGCGGCGGCGGGGGCGGCGGCGGGGGAGGCGGGGGCGGAGGCAGCGGCCTCTTGGTCGTCGTCGTCGTCGTGAACGTCATTTCTGGCGGGGCTGTCACAGGGGGCACGAACGGTGTGGTCGTGGTCGTGGTGGATGTCGTGGTGCTCCCGGGGGCGAGCGAGAACAGGAGCAGCGGGAGCAACAGCAGGGGCAGCAGCAGCAGCGGGACCAGCACGCAGCAGCAGCTGGGGCCGCGCCCTGGGATGCGAATGAGGCCGAACTCGCCCATGAAAGGGCCCACGTACCTCTGGCGGCGCGGTCCAGGGGGGAGGGGCGATGCTCGGGCCGCCTTCACGGCAGGGGGCTTCAAGGGCTTGAGGGCTTCCACCTTCCACGAGGCCCTCCTCCTCCTCCTCCCCCTCCTCCCCCTCCCCCTCCTCCTCCTCCTCCTCCTCCTCCTCCTCCTCCTCCTCCTTCTCCTCCTCCTCCTCCTCCACCCTATTTCTCCTCCTCCTCCTCCCCCTCCTCCTCCTCCTCCTCCTCCTCCTCCTCCTCCTCCTCCTATTCCTCCTCCTCCTCCTCCAGCCCCTCTTTCTCCTCCTACAGCCCCCGCGCGCCGCCCCCAGGCTCCCCCGACGTGCCGTGCTGCTTCGCGGCCGGGACCCCACACGCCTCGACCCCTGCCCCGTGGACCGGCGCAGCAGCCCGAGCTTTCTCGCAGGACGGCCTCGGCAGCCCGAGGGCTGCCATGAAGGCGTCCAGGCGTCCATGGCCCAAGGTGCCCCCAGCAAGGAGGAGGAGGAGGAGGAGGAGGAGGAGGAGGAGGAGGAGGAGGAGGGGGAGGAGGAGCCATTTCTTTGTTCAAACCAGGGGGGCCTCTGGGCCTCTTGACTGGGTTCTCTCCGGCCCCCCCGGGGCCTCCCTGGGAATCCTGGGGGCTCCTCGGGCCAGGGACGCGTTGCAGCACCACCCGAGGTCGTGATTCTCCCACCGGGCGAGGGCGAATGGGCCGATCACCTGTAGGTTGTCTCCTGCACGTAGTCGCCCCCTGGGCCCACGTAGCTCAGGATCGTGCCTGCGACGCGCAGGGCATGCACACACCACCACCAACAACGCCTGGCCAATGCCATCCTGGGCGCTGGCACAGTGCTTCCGTCCTGCCGGCCGGCGCCAGGAGAGCCGTTTTGGCCTATGCGCCACCCTGGGGCCCCAGGACGTCCATGGCCAGCATTCGTGGTCGGTGTAACTGCAGTATGGCTCCCCAGGCCTCATATGTCTGGATTATTTCAACATGGGGCGCCCCCGATCCTCTCGACCAGCTTACACGGGCGCCTGGGCGCCCCTGGGCCCGGAACAGTGCACCCCGGTATCGGAAGCGGTGAAAAAGCGCCCGTCCTGATGCTGGTTCTACATGCTGGCGATCTGCACACACACACACACATACGCGTCGTTCATTTTTAATCGTGCTCATGTCTACTTGCGCTCGTTTCTGATTGTTCCTGGCCCCCTAGTGGCCAGGAAGAGGCCCAGGATAGAACAATTAGACATGAGCGAATCTTGGCCCCCCAAAAAATCAAAGAACCTTCGGATACTTAGACATGAACCATGTGTAAACTCTTGGGGGTCCGCGCAGGCCTCTTCTGGGTCGGCGCTGGACCCTCCCACCCTGGCGCGCGGAGCGGGCCAGCGGCAGCGCGTCCGGCGCCGCCAGGGTTAGGTCGGGCATGTCCTCCTACAGGCGAGTTGTGTAAGAAAATCCGAGACAGTCAACAGATCGTCATCAAAAAATGCCAACAGAGCACGGACGAGTTGTCACCAGACTGTTGTTTCCACTGTTCTTGGAGATCTCCTCCTGTAGAGGGACCTGCCCGACTGAACACCATTGGGGTCGAGCGCCGATCCAAGAAACCTGCGCGGACCTCCGGAAGTTCATAAAGCAGACTGGTACGAGAAGCCACCTTGCCATGAGGCATCTTGGGGCGCATTCGTCGTCGATCCTCGAGGATCCTAATGGTGTGCCCTTGAGATTATGTGGGTCCCTGGGGCCGTCGAAGGATAATTCACTTCCGTGGAGCACCTCATGGCAGGCGCATGTCTAATCGGACGTGCCAGGGGAACTCCAATCGTGGACTGGTCATGGATGTCGACGCCGCCCTCCTCACATATACGGCATTCCCCAGGGTCTGGAGCCTTCTGGACACATTCCTCAACCGACGCACCCACCGCATCCAATGCCCAAAAACGCTGAGAGGCCAGGAGCCCCGCGGGCCTCCTCCCCCCCCGCAGCACGAGCCGCCCGCGCAGCCGGTGGCGCCGCAGCCGCACGCCTCGGCACACGCCGCGTCGGCGACGGGGCCTGAGGGGCGCAACCCAGCAATGCTCGCGTCGGTCTTCGGACTCTTTCGCCGGGTCTCCGATGTTTTTTCGTCTGTTCCTGGAGGTTGCCCTGCCTTGGGGTACCTTCCAGCAGCTGCAGCTCGCTGAGGTGGCGTTCCAGAGCTGCCCGGGTCGTCCCAAACGGCCGGCAGAGGCCCGAGCTACGGCCCGAAAGTCAAACGCAGGGCTGAACCTAAACGGTGTTTAACGTTTTCGTTTTGTCTTCGTCCTTCCCTCGTTTTGTCTTCAATCCTCCTCTACCGCAAAACGAAGTCGAAACGAAAACGGCCCACGAAATCGCCAAAACACCGTTTAGGTCCAGCCCTGGTCAAACCCAACCCAACCCAAAGGCCCGACTTTCGGATTGGGGGGGTAAGGGTTCCGTACGTGTTTTTGTCGATGTTCTGCGACCCCCCCCCCTCCACTGGAAATGGAGGGCAGATCTGAGCCTTCGGGTTGGGTTGGGGTGGTTTGGTGGGTGGTGAGTGACAGCTTCGGACGCCCGAAATAGGTGCTCAAAGAATGGGTACAATGCCCAACAACAAATGTTGTCCCAAACCAACAGCGGCTGCTGTTGGGCAGGCGGCCTTCTGTCTCGAATGGACACAGGCCGCGGCGGCGTGGACAGCGAGTCCTGTTCGAAATGAACCAGATCCGCTGTTGGGCATTGTACCCATTCTTTCCGTGCCCATTTCGTTCGTGCAGAACAGCAGCAAAAACACTACGAACGGATGTCGACACCCTTCGGCCTCCTGGGGCCCTCGCTCTGGGCCCTCTAGATTAACGGTGGTCGCCGGCCTCCCTCTGGGAGCGGGCCGGGACTCCCTGCCCCGTTCTCGTGTGGTTCGAGGTATCGGAGGCATGGGAAGGGGGGACTAAGGCGGGATGACGATTAATAAAAAAATGGGAGGGAACGATTGAACAAATAGTTTTCTGCTATTTCTGCACAACTTTCTGACTGGAGGAGAACGATAAAAAAAGTGTTCCAGCCCGCGGCAGGTTCTTTCTAATCGTCATCCCGGGCGCCGCCGCGTGAACACGACCCCCGGTCATTTATTCATCGTCACCTCCATTAGTACTATGTTGTTCCCATCCTACATAAGGGCCATCTCCCAGACATAATTTCGAGCACCCGGAAAAGTGTCAAAAGAGTGTCGAACCAGTGTCGAAACAGTGTCGGGCGAGTGTCTCCCAGGGCCCGACACGTGAAAAACCCTCGAGTTTCGGTGTTTGTTTTTTCTGGCGCTCGAAATTATTTCTGGTGATCAAGGCTAAAGTAGGTTGGCGCATCAATAGAACTAGTAGTCCATAGGGGATTGGGGGGGGGGGGGGGCAACATTGGCATGGGCTCGGCGATGCCTCCCAGGCAGGCAGACGCGCGACACTTTCAGGCCCTCGATGCAGCGAAGCCGCGCATTTTCCCGAGCGGGGTCTGGGGCAGCCGGGCCCCGACGGGCGAGGCATGGGCGGTGGAGGGCCCATGTTCCCTCCCAGGTCACGAGTGGCGAAAGCACGGTCCACCCGTACAATGATGAAGGGACCCCGGGACACACAAATACATACACACAAATAAACATATTCCCCATCTTTTCCCCTATTTTCTGGGCTTCTGTCTTCCCCCCCACTTCCCATGTTTTCCAATATTTTCTGGGTAGTCGACGATTCATTGTGTCTGTGTGTTTTTTCCCTCCTGAAGTAGCAGGACCCCCAGGGGCGGCACCAGAGGCGCCGCCGGAGGCGTGGAGCGCCAACAGCTCATATGTTTGTGGCGTTGTTGTCTTCACTCGAGGTACAGTCGGGGCGTTGACCTAAAAGGAACCCTAAATAAGGAACGAGGCCCCTTTTTCTCCATAAGTTAACGAGGCCCCCTCGAGATACAGTCGAGGCCCTTTTTTTCCATAAGTGAACCTTCGATTTCCTGTCGAAGACACAAGGAACACCTGAGGCAAGCTGTGAAACACTCAAGGAACACCAGGCCCCTCCCCAACGAAAAGGGCTCATTCAACAGCGCCCCGACTGTACGGCGTTGTTTCCTCATTCGAGATGAAGATGCAGGGGCCTTGGAAGGCCGTGTCGACAATCTTCGGGCGGAGCGTGGCCCGCGAGAGAAGGATGGGCCGAAGGGGAAGCACGCAGGGGTGCCCTTGGGAAGTCGCTGTTATCCTCACGAGGCGGGTGGGCTGTCATCCATATCCACGCCCTTGCGGTCTGGCTTCCGGGGCGCGATGCCGCTTTACGCTCCGCGCGGGGCATCTGGGACAAAAACGCCCCGCGGGGTCCAGACCCAAGTCCCCGGTCCGCGAGGCTGCGTTCACGGATGTGTTTTCCACCCACGACCAGAGCCAATCCCCCCCCGTTGGCGTCCCTGCGCGCCGCAACACGCGTCGGCGCACGTCGCGCCGTGCACGCCGGCGCCATAGGCGCCGCCAGCGTAGCCCAGGCCGCCGTGGGCGCTGCCAGCGCCGTAGCCCACGGCCCGGGTGCGCTCGCCAGAGGTGGCTCTGGCCCGAGCCAGGCATCCAGCACCCGCAAGACGGAGGCCGTTCGCCGCTGTCCGCCTCTAAAGGCCCCCTCGCGTGGCCCCGGGGCCGTCGGAATCGGACCCGAGGAGGAGGAGGAGGAGGAGGAGGAGGAGGAGGAGGAGGAGGAGGAGGAGGTTGAGAGGAGTGAGGAGGAGGAGGTAGGAGGAGGAGGAGGAGGACGGAGGAGAGAGGGAGGAGGGAGGAGGAGGAGGGAGGAGAGGAGGAGGGGAGGAGGAGGAGGAGGAGAAGAAGGAGAGGAGGAGAAGGGGGAGGAGGAGGAGGAGGAGGAGGAGGAGGAGGAGGAGAGGGAGGAGAGGGAGGAATCGGACCCGGGAGGATGAGAGGCGAGCCCTGGGGGAGGTGGTCTGGACTTCCGGGGGCCCCGGGTCGAAAAGATGTGGGCATCGGGGCACCAGATCTGAACGTTGCAGCTTTGGCTGCTCCGGGCGCTCCGCCCGAGAACCCGCCCATGCTGTGGGCCCGGGAGCTCCCACGGATCGCTTCAGCGAAGGGGAAACGCTGCGGGTAGATTGGGTCCGGGACCCCAGTCGTAGTTTTGGCCAAGATCTTGCCACCGTCGTCGCGACGTCGGAAAGGAACTCAGGCATCTGGCTGATATTACTTAATCCCAGAGCGCCCTTCAATCTTCTCTTCGATTTCGGCCTCTGGGGGCCAGCTCGGGGGAGTTTGGCGAGAGATAAGGGCATCACCGACCACGCGCAGTGGCTGCCCCCGCCACCAGAAGCCAGGGACCAGGGACGGAGAAGGAGGAGGAGGAGGCGGAGAAAAAGGAGGAAGAGGAAGAGGAGGAGAAGGCGAGGAAGAGAGGAGGAGAGGGAGAAGGAGGAGAAGGAGAAGCAAGAGGAGGATGAGAAGGAGAAGGAGAAGGAGGAGGAGGAGGAGGAGGAGAAGGACGTAGAGGACGAGGAGGCGGAAAGGGGAGGAGGAGGAGGAGGAGGAGGAGGAGGAGGAGGAGGAGGAAGAAGAGGAGGAGGAGGAGGAGAAGCAAGAGGAAGGAGGAGGAGGAGCAGCAGTGGCCAGAGGGGGGCGAGTCCATCAGGAAGCCGAACAGCCGCAGGCCGCGGCGGGGCTCCTTAGTTGAACTCACTCTGCGGGTTGCGGAGCTCTGCGACGTGGTCGCTCGGTCGCTGCGGGCCGAACGACTCCGCGGGCAGGAACGACGAGGTCAGGTCGACCATCAGGTAGTCTGCATTGCTCGGGGTGTCGACGAAGACGCCGTCAACAATCATAGAGTCGTAGTGGTCTGCACGAGGCCCAGACGGCACATCCACAGAGGCTTCATGACCATGTGGGGGTAGCTGAGCGGCACGAGCGCGCGCTGGTGCGTGAGGGTTGTAATCGTGGCCGTCGGCGACGGCAGGTAATGACGTAGGCTCGGCAGCAAGTCGTCCGAGCATGTCGTCGTCAGGAGTCGTGGGGCCAGCAGGGAGTAGTATCGTAGTAGATGGTGGGGATCGTCGGGGGCCTGCACCTTGGTGGTGCTGGGTGCCGGGTGCATTTTGATGGTGCCGGGTACCAGGCTCGTCCTGTATGGGCGTGGCGTGAACGACAGGAGCACCAGGGGCAGGAACGACATCGGGTGCTGAAGCAACTGCCGTCGGGAGAGGAACCTCACCATGACGAAGGCGGTCGCGAGCTGCTCGAAGAATCTGGAGATGGAACTCGTAGGAGGTGGTAGTAGCAGATGTTGGTGGGTAGTGCTTGATCTCCAGCACCAGGTAGTAGGTTAGGACCATCCGGGCAATCGTGTTGTGAAGAGATCGTTCGTGACGATGGTCTGCTGGGTATGCCTGTGCATCCCCAAGCCCGATGCGCTCCAGTGGCGTGGCATGTGCGTATGTGCGTGGTAAGCATGTCAAGTGGAGAGCGCGAGGGCAGACCAGGTAGTGGCATATCTCGTCGGGCTCCTGGCAACCAAAGGCGCAGCAGCAGCGATCAGGGTGGACATGCATCCTATGCGAGGTGTGCCATGCACCTGTGACCGTTTTCAACACCGCCCAGCGCCAGGCAGGAGAGAGCGCAACAAGGTGCTGTCGTAGATGGTTCCATCGGTCGGAGATGTCAGCCGGGACCACCCCAGGACCAAACCAAGTCGAAAGCCGCTTTGCAATCGTAACCCAGAGCGCATCGGGATGGGCCCGTTGCATTAGTGCTGATTGTAGAAGTCGTTGTGGCCGCGAGCGCACGTGATCCTCAGAGGCACTGCGCAGCTGGTCCAGGACGTCGGCGATAAGAGCGCGAAGTGTCGTAGGTGCAAGCTTGATGATCGACAGTGGGTGGCCGTCCTGCACGTTGGCGAAGCGCTGCACGATGGATGTCGGAGTCAACCAGAAGCTCGGAGAAAGATTGCCCCTAACATGCTCGACAATCGGCAAATGCTCCATCGCCAGATCATGCAAGTGGTGTAGAAGCGGTCTCCAATCGCTGATGGTGAAGGGGAAGGAGGGGGAGGAGGAGGAGGAGGAGGAGGAGGAGGAGGAGGAGTGTGAGAGGAGAGAGAAGAAGAATAGAAGAAAAGCAAGAAGAAGAAGAAGACGAAGAAAAGAAGAAGACGAAGAAGAAGAAGAAGAAGAAGAGCAAAGAAGAAGAAAAGAAGAAGAATAATAAGAAGAAGAAGAGAAAAAAAGAAGAAGAAGTAAGAAAGAAGAAACAGAAGTGACTAGGAGGACGAGGAAGGACTAGGAGCAGGAGGAGGAGAGAAGAAAAGACGGCGAGGATTAGGAGGAGGAGGAGGAGGAGGAGGAGAGGGAGGAGGAGGAGAGGGAGGAGGAGGAGGAGGCGAGGAGGAGGGGGAGGAGGAGGCGGAGTAGGAGGATGAAGAGTAGGAGGCGAGGAGGAGGAGGAGGAGGAGGAGGAGGAGGAGGAGGAGGAGGAGGAGAAGGAGAAGGACGAGGAGGAAGCGAGGAACGAGGGAGGAGGAGAGTGCCGGAGGAAGCGAAGAACGAGGGCTTGACGGTCGAAGCTCTGGAGCAGCATCTCGGGGAGCACCAGGGATGAGGGGCAACGATGGGGCGGGATAGGCACAGGGGGGGAAGCATCGCCCTGGAATCGGCGATGCGTCGCCGATAGATCGGCGACGGGCTCCCAGCAGAGAGCCCTCACGTTCCTCGGCAGGCTACGGTTGCCCCCGAGGAGGTGAGCTCGGGGCGAGGAGCTGCCCACTGCAGATCGGGGCCTGCCCTGACATCTGGGCGCCGCATCTCGGGTCAGCCTGGGCGCTCTGCAGAGGAGCGTGTGGGACCCTCACGGCTCGACGCAGCTCGGGGAGACATGCTGCAGGAAGGCTGTGTCGAAGGCTCCGGTCGTGATTCTGCAGGGTTGATTAACCCAAAAAAACTCCTAACCCTTTGGGAGGGGGCCTGAGTTAGGAGGTCCTGGAGCATTAGGAATCAGGGGTTATTTTTTTTTCTACAGATGTATCGAACCCAGCCGCCCAGATCTATCATCCCTGCTGCGAGGGCGGGGACCTAATTGAGGCCATGTCTTCATCGTGATGTTAAGGTTAAGGGCTCTTTTGTTCTCGATGGCGCACGCTGCAGAAAGGTTGTGTCGAAAGCGCTGGCCGTGATTCTCCTGGATTGATGCGCCCATTTCCCACCACCGCAGGGGGGAGAAGGGAGGATGGGAAGGACCTCCTCCTCCTCCTCCTCCTGGCACGTCGCTGCGAACCGAATCCCGACTCCTCAGCGCCTACTCGAAGCTCGGGCCACCTGAACCTCCTCCTCCTCCTCCTCCCTCTCCTCCTCCTCCTACCCTCCTCCTCCTCCTCCTCCTCCTCCTCCTATCCTCCTCCTCCGCCTCCTCCTCCCCTCCTCCTCCTCCTCCTCCTCCTCCCTCTCCTCCTCCTCCTCCTCCTCCCTCTCCTCCCTCTCCTCCTCTTCCCCCTCCTCCTCCTCCTCCTCCTCCTCCTCCTCCTCCTCTCTCCTCCTCCTCCTCCCTCTCCTCCTCGTCCCTCCATCCTCCTCCTTGCCCTCCACCTCCTCCTCTTCCTCCTCCTCCATCTCCTCACTCTCTCCTCCTCCTCCTCCGCCTCCTCCCTCCTCCTCCATCTCCTCCCTCCTCCTCCTCCTCCTCCTCCTCCTCCTCCTCCTCCTCTTCTCCTCCTCCTCCTCCACCTCCTCCTCCTCCTCCACCTCCTCCTCCTCCTCCTCACCCCTCCCTCCTCCTCCTCCTCCGTCCTCTTCTTCATCTTACCTCCTCCTCCTCCTCCTCCCTCCTCCTCCTCCCTCCTCCTCCTCCTCCTCTCCTCCTCCTCCTCCTCCTCCTCCTCCTCGTTCCCTGCTGCCTGGCCCGCCGCATCTCGGAGGGCCTCAAGCTGGCACTTGTCGCAGGAGCTCCAGTCTTGGGACGACAAGCTCATCATCCGAGACGCCAGGCATCGCGAGGCAGAGGCGGCAGCGACGAGGATGTACGGCGACTGGGTCACCTGTCTGGAGGAGGCGGCGATCGTGACGGATGAGATCGACGAGGAGGAGGCCGAGCACTACCGATGGCGGGCTTCGGGCTTCGAGGTCAAGTGGGTCAAGGCGCGTTCGACACCAGGTCGCACCCACATGAAGTTCGGGCCAGCGGAGCAGTGGGGCATCCTCAACGCCATCCTCATCAGGTACCAGGCGCTGTACACCAACGGCACTGACGGCAGGCAACAGGCAAAGTGCCTGGCGGAGGCAAAGGCGCAGGGCAGGGTCTTGCAGCAGATGGATCAGAGCCAGGTCTTCGGCAGGAAGATCGGCGCAGCACAGCAGCGGATGTTCTACGAGATGCTGGGCGACTTGGCGGACTTGGAAGAGGGGCAGCTCGGCAACTTAGTCATGCACGCAGAGGGCCACCTCGCCACCGCGCAGTCGCGTGGCTTTACGGCGCAGCAGAAGAACTTCACGGCGTGGGCCAAGAAGGCATGGGCAGGCAAGTTGGCCTCCTCCATCGGCATGTGAAGGAGCAGCAGGCGCCGGGGTTCGAGCTGTGCACGGAGGAGATGGAGGGCATCGCGGACCCAGACGCCCTCATTGGCATCAGGAAGCACGAGTGGGAGCGCATATGGACGGACCCAGTCGATACGAAGGAGGACATCGCGTACCAGCTGGGCAGGCTCCGCGATCAGTCCTGGGAGCACGTGCTGGAGCCCCTCACGCTGGAGCAGCTCGACGGGGCCATCGCCGCGTCGTCGTCGGCCAAAGCAAAAGGAGTTGATCACCTTGGTCCGCACGATCTGGCTCGGGCCCCCAGACATGCAAGAATATGGTTACTTCACATCTTACAGTATTGCGAGCAGGAGGTCGCATGGCCGAGGCAATGGGCAGCCACCAAGTGCGCGCTGGCGGCCAAGCCCAAAGGAGGAGATCGAGTACTCGGAATGCTGGCCCTTCCCATCAAGCTCTGGTCAAGGGCTCGGGGAGGTTGCTGCTCAGAATGGAATGATTCGGTATCGGCCCATTGGGACACAGCCCTCAAAGGCAGCTCAGCCCTCCGTGCGGGGCTCCTCAGGGCGTGCCTGGACGAAGTGGGGGCAGAGCTCGGGGCATCGGCGATGACGCTACTGTTGGACATCGAGAAGTTCTACGACACGGTCTCGCTCGTCATCCTGTCCCAGATCGCCCTCAGAGTGGACTTTCCCGCAGTGGTGGTGGCGTTAGAGATCACCGCTTTCGTGGGGCCGAGGTACCTGCAGGAGCGTAACATCCTCAGCGAGGCGATCTGGTCCACGAGGTCTTTGGTAGCAGGCTCTGCCAGAGGCGTGGGGTTGGCGAAGCTGTTCTTGCACCCGATATTAGAGAGGGCGCATCGGAGGGCGCCACAAGCTGCGCTGTGGACATTCGTGGATGACACGGTTGCGAGGCAAGAAGGTAGCAGGCAAACAGTCGGCGATGGCATCATCCAGGTCACGGAGATCATCACGGACGGACTCAAGGATCAGAGGATGAAGATCTCCAGCAAGTCTGTCCTGATAGGCACCCACCCGAAGGACGTGAAGCGGACGGCCAAGTCCATGAGGAAGAGGCAGATCCCCGTCTACGCAGTCACGGAGGCAGTGGACCTAGGCCTGGACACGTCGGCTGGGAGGAAAAGGGTTACGACGAAAGCGAAGCAGCGAGCAAAGCGGGCGAAGCACAGATTCGCCAAGATTGTGAGGCTGCGACGTACTGCGGCCCTGGCCAAAGAGAGCAAAGGTTTATGGAAGGCGGGAGCAGTACCACAGGCAGTGTACGGCCACCAAGCCTTCGGGTTCGCAGTTCATGAGCTTCAACGGCTACGACGACAAGCTCGACAGGTGGCAGGAGGTAAGGCGCGTGGGCGATGCTTGACGACGACACTGGCGGTCGAGCTGTGGAAGGGCGACCCAGGGGTGGCAATGCGAGTTGCCGTGGTCAAGGAGTGGATCAACCTGTGGCAGCGCCACCCCGAGAACCACGCCAGGATCGTCAAGGCATGGCCGCGGATATTCGACCGTCTGTCAAAGCTTGGGCCAAAACGATGGAGAGGAGTTCGCGGACCAGTCGGAGCGGTGCAGGCGACCATCATGGACGTGGGCTGGTACGCACCAACGTCTACGGTGTGGATGCGACCAGTCGGAGCAGATGAGGATCCAGCAGAACAGTGGGACATCCCGTCCGTCACGGACGGCACTTTCGACAACACGGGGTGCTTCCAGCAGCTGGTAGACGACTTCGAGGACGACATCGTAGCTCAACACTGGAAGGCTGCTGCAGCACACCCACATGGTGAAGGTTTGGAGGATGGAGCGGACGTCTGGCAGATCCGCGCGGAGCAGCGAAGGTTCGAGAAGCAGGGGCAGCTGGACATGGTCGGGGCCAACATCACCGTGGTCGCGGGAGGACAGTGGCCGAAGCAGCGATCTGTCGACCAAGGATACCTCCTGGACTGTAAGAAGTGCGACAGGTGCAAGGAGGAGGACGAGACCCTGATGCATCGGATCTGGCTATGCCCCAAGAACGTGGACCACGAGGACTTCACCAAGTCGGCGGACCTGCTGCCGGCTGCGATGGCGCAGGCAGAAGCTGAGCCTGCGCTGTGGCTTCGAGGATTGCCGCCAGCCTCT